CCTGCCCAGCTTCATGGGTGCTCTTCCATTGCAGGCTGCGCCCAAAATCTACCCGACGGTCCCGCCAGCAAAGAGGAGACCGATTCGAGTGCTCTCCTTATTCGATGGCATAGCCACAGGTGAGGCACTGGGGGAGCAGGTCCTGGCAGCTTGTGGCACAGAGTAGAGTGTCACGGCCTCAAACCTGCCCCAGAGCTTGGTGGGGAGAGGGGGGTGAGGGCAGGGGGATCCCATCGGAGGGGGGTGAGGGCAGGGGGAAATGGCCTCAGATTGCACCAGGAAAGGTTTAGATTGGATATTAGGAAAAATGTCTTCACGGAAAGGGTTATCAGGCACTGGAAGGGCAGTGGAGTCGCCATCTCTGGGGGGATTTAAAAGACAGGAGATAAGGGTGCTGAGGGTCATGGGTTAGTTTAGTGGTGGACTGATGATGGTTGGACTTGATGATCCTAAAGGTCTTTTCCAACCAAATGATCCTTATGATTCCTGATGGCCAGAGCTATGGAGGGAGGGATGGGAATCTCACTCATGGAGGTTCCTGTGGGGCTGGGTGCCGTCTCAGTGGCCAGTTTCACTGGGAAGCAGGAGCTGCAGGAGCAGTGAGAGTGCTGGTGAAAAAGCACCTGAGGGCACCTGGTTTGGCTCAGCTCTGGAGTTCTGCTTTCTGGGAGCAAACTTGCCTGGAGGAATGGGTCAAAACCCCACAGTTTGCTCATCCAGAAGTCCTGTGTGACTGCACCCACAGTGGCCACATCGAGCGTCCGCGCTGAGGAAGGGGAGCGGGAGAGCAAAGAGAGCCGTGCAGCCTCCGACCTGTGTCCCTTGGCAGGGTACCTGGTGCTGAAGGACTTGGGCATCCAAGTGGAGAAGTACATCGCTTCGGAGATCTGCGAAGACCCCATCGCGGTGGGCACGGTGCGGCACGAGGGCGACATCACCTACGTGCACAACGTCAGGAACATAACCAAGAGAAACGTGAGCGAGCGGGAGGGCCGGGATATGCTGTACCATGGCCATGGGGGTGTCCCCCCACCAGCCCTGGGACGCTTTCGTGGTGTCTCCTAACCGGGTCTGTGTGCTCTAGATCGAGGAGTGGGGTCCCTTTGACCTGGTGATTGGAGGAAGCCCCTCTAACGACATTTCCCTCGTCAATTCAGCCAGGAAGGGGCTCTATGGTAAGGCTGGGGACCTCCGAGTTCTTCCTGGGCTCAGCTGCGGTGGTGGTGGCTCCCATCTGAGGTGCACCCCCTGCAAAGCACAGGCTGTCCCCATGCCAGTCGTGGTGAGGGGACAGCCAGGCCCCTGGTAGCTGGTCCCAGTTGTCCACTGCGGTGTCCCCCCGCAGAAGGCACCGGGAGGCTGTTCTTTGAGTTTTACCACCTGCTCAACTACGCCCGCCCCAAGGCCGGAGAGGAGCGCCCCTTCTTCTGGATGTTCGAGAACGTGGTGGCCATGAGGGTGAACGACAAGAGGGACATTTCTCGCTTTCTGGAGGTAGGGCATGCTGCCAGGCTCTGGCTGTGGCTTCCAATGGCCCCGATGTGGAAAAACCCCCGGGCTGGTGCAGGAATCAGCTTTTTAACCTTAGCTCTGGATCCCGCTGGCTTTCAGCAGGGTAACCCCCAGCACCAGAGCAGTGCCTGTTGTTGCTGGGGGGTCAGGGGCTGAAAGGGATTTTGAGCTGCCATGGCCATGGGGCTCTGGGTCAGTGGGAGCCCCCATGTCTAAAAGCCCCATCAGAGGCTGAGGGTCCTGAATCCTGCCCGGGATCCCAGCACTGAAGTGTGCTGTGGTTTTCAGCAGTTGCTGGCCATGGCCATGGGGTGGGAGCCCATGTAGCTGGCCAGGACAAGGGTTTGTGGGGTGAATCCTCAGGAGGATTTGCTGGAGGTTTAATCCCTGCAGTGGGGTGGGGAGAGGGGCTTCTTGGGCAGGAGCAGACAGAGCACACATCTCTTTTAACTGTCATTTCCCCGTCTCGTGGCCTGCAGTGTAACCCGGTGATGATCGACGCCATCAAGATATCGGCTGCGCACCGAGCACGCTACTTCTGGGGCAACCTCCCGGGGATGAACAGGTAACCCTCGCTGCGGCTTCGGCATCTCACCATGGTTTAAGTTTGTTTTGTGCTGCTTGTGTGGGTCTTCTTTCCTCCCTGGTCCTAAGCCCAGCTTTGGGAGCTGCACTGATGTGCAGGTGACAATTAATAGGCTTGCTAATGAGCAATGATGGAGGCTGGGGGGAAAATGCAGCAGCATCCCCATCCCTGGACCTGGAGGCTGTGGAGGGAGGAGCGATGGGGCCTGCGTGGTGTGTTCAGTTTGGGGAATACACCAGGAGCAGCCTGCACACCCCATGCTGACGTGGGCTGATGGCGGTGCTGCATGGCAGCCCCCACCCCAGCCCATGCATAGACCCCGAATTCAGAGCAAAACACCCCAGAAAGGACTGGGAGCAGAGTCACGTCCAGTTACTGGCAGTCCTGTGCACCAGTTACCTTCTAGCATCAAAACCTGGAGTTTTCGCACAGCGGCTGGCTGCCTCAGCCAATACGCGCAGCCCGGTTCTCAATATTTTGGGTTGTTTACATTTAAATTGCCAGAATTTGCTGGAGTTAAAACTAATTAAAGCTGAGCTGGAGGCATGTAGGTATTTGGAAGTGAAATAGCAATTAGCGAGCCCTTGCCGTTGAAATAGCGCTCGGGTTCTCGTCCGCTCGAGGGAAGCGGCGACTCAGAGCTGGCTCTGTGAAGCAGCCGGGGGCAATGCTTGGCTGAGCAGGGACAGGGGCAGGGGCACGGGGCTCCTCCAAGAGGGCTCCTGCACCCACCCTGGGTTTGGGATGTGCCAGAGAGGGCAGGAGCTGGGATTTTATGGCAAACAGCCTCAAACAACGTGGTGGTTACTGAGAGAGGGAACTATTGGCCTCGGCCAAGCCGGAGAGGCTGCGGGAAGAGCTGACATGCAGGGCTGGGAGGAGGAGTTTCCTGTTGTCTTTGGGTATTTGGTGTTTGCTTTTTACTCCCCATATTCAGTGCTAGTGCTGCTTCCTCGCTGAGGGATCATTGGTGGCCATTCTAGGGTCTTGCATCTGCCCTTAACTGGGAAATGGGAGCTCTGTGGAGCCGTGTTCTCAGCTTTGGCTGCTGGAGGCACTGGTGGAGGTGGTGGTGATGAGCTGGGACCCTCTGCAGCTGCTTCTGCTCCCTGTGACCGGAGCAGCAATGCCCCAGGGTTTGACCCTTCAGCTCCAGCCCTTGTGGCTGACAGCCTGCGGAGGTGACTGGAATTTCGGGAGGAAACTTGTGGTGGCTGTGGGAGAGGCTGTGGTGGGATGAACGCAGGACCG